CCCACATGCCACGGAGCGGCTGGGCCCGTGAGCCATGGCCGCTGAGCCTGCGCGTCCGGAGCCTGTGCTCCGCAACGCGAGAGGCCACAATAGTGAGAGGCCTGCGTACCGCAAAAAAATTAAAAGTCAGGGTGACCTTCAACGGTCTCCCAGACACTCAGAACAAAACTCAACCCTCTGACACAGACTTCTGACCACATAACATGTCCTATGAGACCCACCCACCCTCTGCTCCCAGCTCCCCAAAGCCCTCATTTTGTGCTCTGGCTGACCTAGGAGGTTCCCTGCCAGCCACTTCTCTCCTGCCTCCCTCCAGAAGCCTTCTTAGAACTCTCAGAACCCCTAGTGCCACACTCCCCACCCCTCACTTCTCCAATATTGCCCTCCATGTCTGTCTTCCCCACTGGACAGCCAGCTGGAGGCCAGAGCCAGGGCAGGGCGCTGCCCATTTCATTCACCACCAGATGCCCAATGCTTGGCACAGGGTCTGCCACACAGCAGGGACTCATTAGGCCTGAGTGGGTCAGCCAGGGTACAAACATGCAAACTCCAACATGCGTAGCTCTCCCCATACGCGTGAAGACTCAGATCCACCTTCAAACACAGTAACCTGGACAGTCAGGGGAAAGACGCCTGGGGAAATGGGGGCTGCTTGGGGTGTGGCAGCAGTCTGGCAAGTTTGACTGGGAGGGAGGCTGGGTGCTGGGTGCAGGAGCAGGTCGGGGCAGGGTGGGGTTTGTGGGGAGGGGTGTTGCACCAGCAGGGTTACCCTGAGTCTCTCCATGCGGTTACTCTCTGGCCCGTTCCACTGGATGATAAACTTCCCGAGGTCCAGGAGGAAAACATCCCCACGGTTGAAACTCTTCCAGGACATCTCCACCTGGAGAGCCATGGGGCAGGCGCAGACCCCACTCAGACCCCATCCATCACCCCCATCACCCATCATCTCTTCCCCACCCCTTCTCTGCCCCTCACCCATCCTCAGCCTCTGCTTTCCACCCAGGCTGGGAGCGGGGAGACAAGGCCACGCCCAGGGCCCTGGTTGATGCCCACCTCTCTGGCCACCACATTCCTCTTGCCCTTGACATGTAGCAGCCGCTGGATGTCATAGGAGTTGGTCTCCACTTGTTTCATGCCAGAAGCCACACCCCCTTTCCGGATCCTGTGAAGAGAGGTGAACTGACCCAAGGGAGTGGGCTGGGAGGTGTGATAGGTCCCCGTCCTCCCAGATCTTGGGTACCTGGTTGCCACAGGGGCCATATGAGGGCTGAGGCTGGGACTAGGGAGGTGCATGAGGCACCTCGGGCACAAAATCCAAGGAGGCATTCACTCTCGGGGCCATGCAAGGTCGGTCTATTGCCTCAATTTGCATGACCCTGGCAGTGAGTACCTCTTTGGAGTTTGTACCTTAGACGCCTCGCTCACCTCACCCTAGTCTTTGCCCTGTTGAGAGCCCTGCGAAGATGGGTGCATGGTAATTTGGTAATGTGGAAGGACCAGATAGGACTCTAAGGACAGGGGACTGAAGTGAAGGAAAGAGGGGAGATGCTATGGACTGAATTGTGTCCCTTCCCAACTCATATGTTGAAGCCCTAGCCCTCGATGTGACGGTATTTGAAGACAGAGCCTTTGGGAGGTAATAGATTAGATGAGGTCTAGGTGAGGTCATAAGGATGGGAACCTCATGATTGGATTAGTGCCCTTATAAGAAGTGACACTAGAGAGCTTGCTCACACTCCATCATGTGAAGACACAGTGAGAGGGTGGCCATCTGCAAACCAGGGTGAGAGCCCTCACCAGCAATCAAATCAGCCAACACCTTTATCTTGGACTTTCCAACTTCTAGAACTGTGAGAAAACCAATTTCTGTTGTTTAAGCCACCCAGTCTATTTTTTGGTTTTTGTATTTTTTGTATTTTGCTATGGCAGCCCAAGCAGATTTAAGCCAGGAGAGGTACCACCTCAAGTGCTCAAAGGAGTGGACTGCTGCTGTGAGTGTAGAAAGAAGGAGAGCAAGACAAAAGGGAAGGGTGGGGACTGTGGCTAACTGGAGAAATCCTGGCCTATCCTACAGGTCAGTAGCAACTTGGCTCCTGACCATGTGTTTCCATGAGAAAAGCTGGGAGGTCAGAACTTCACATTTTTCAAGAAAAGCTGGAAATCTGGATTTTAGTGTGAAAGGTTTCTTTAGAGAAAGAAGGAGGAGTCATATGCCCATTGGCCAGTGGGGAGACTTGATATGATGCCCTGGAGGGCCTCCTTTGGTGCTGAGCTCTCCAGGACATTTAAATAGGGGTTGATTTACAAAAATTCACTGTATGCAGAGTCACAGAATTTCAGAATGTCCTCCGGGGCAGCCAACGACACACTCAGAGAGATGAAGACCAAGGACAGGGAAGCAGCAGAAATGGGGGTGGAAGATTAGGAAGGTGAACAAAAATTTCTCTCATGGGCTCCCCCGACAGCCTCAGGCTCCCTTTCCAGCCCCAGGTCTGCCCCACAGCCTTGGTGTCCCTCCCCAGCCCTGATTCCATTCCCAAGCCTGTAGCGCGCCCCTCCGTACACGATGCCCTGCTTGAAGTAGCCTCGGAAGGTCTCGCTCTCGTTGCCCTGGACCTCGCGGTGCTGGACAGCCCGGCCCTTCAGAAAGTCATCCATCTGTGTGGTGTAGATGGCAGCTGCCCCTTGCTCATCCTGGGACGAGTCCTGGCCGATCCAGTAGTGAATGTCATAGGACAGGTTGCTGCCTGTCTTGTGGATCTAGGGAGAGGGCATGTCCAGTGTCCCCGAGGCCCTGGGCTCCCACAGCCCTCTCCCTGCCTCCCTGCTTCACAAGCTCTTGGGGCCTGGGCCACAGGGGAGCTTGGCATGGGGGAAGTTCATGGGACTGGTGGTCAGCAGCCCTGCATCATGGCCCCAGTTCTGTCAGACTCTCCGAGACATGGGGCAAGTGGCTTCCCCGACCCGGGCCTTCCTCATCTCACCTTGGAAATAACTTGGTCGGACTACAGCATTTCCCAAAGTGATGTGCACAGACCATCAGAGGTCTGATAGGTGATTGCGTGGTATACAATGAAATGTACATATGAAATGATTATGGAATTTTTTTTTTTTTGGCCACACCACCAGGCACGCAGGATCTTAGTTCCCAGACCAGGGATCGAACCTACGCCCCCTGCAGTGAAAGCGCGGAGTCTTAACCACTGGACTGCCAGGGAAGTCCCTGATTATGGAAATATTTTATAGCTACTTTCTGTTTGTGACACGGGACACTGTGTTCCATTCATGATAATGATATTAAGTTTTTAAATAAATGGATTTAAAATTTAAAAGTAATCAATATAAGGAAAAGTACAAATGCGTTAACAATTCAGGATGTGGAAGAAACCGAGAAGGTGAAATGAAGTTGACTACGGATTTTGGGAACATGGGCTCAAGGTAGGGTGACATCCCACCAGTTCAGAAGATCCCCCAAGACTGTAAATCCACAGATGGTCACCCCAGCTGGGAGCTCACAGCCCAAGGGCAGGGAGAGCCTCTTACATCTCTGACCCTGCAGAGCTACCTCTAGGTTGGGAACACCCAGTGAATGCTGTCTTGGGGTGAAGTTAGGCGGCAGTTCCCATTGCCCCCAGCCTCACATTTCCTCTGTGTTGCTACTGTGAGCTCTGCTCTCTGCTCAGCCCCCTCCCCTGCCCATCCCCCACTCACAGCCAGGACTATGTAGCAGTCACCATCGAAGAAGCTGCCGAAGGTGCTGGAAGGAACAGGCACCATCTGCATGGCCTAGGGAGGGAAGGGAGGTCAGAGGGTCAACCACCGAGGACCCCCAGCTTCCCTGCCTCCCTTAACCAAATGGAGAGTTAGGAAAGGAAGGCCAGGAGGAAGAGGGCATGAGGAAACTGACCAGGTGAACGGATGTGAGGAGGGTGGGGAGGAAAAGGAGCAAGACGATGTGCCCGATGCCTGAGGAGGGGGTGGGGATGGCACTTGGGGACAGGCACCAGGGGCTCGCATGCCAGCAGGGCAGGATGGAGGACAGTCAGTAATTCCAGGGCTCTCCCTTCCCTTGGTCCATCCCAGTCCTGCAGAGCCCCCTTTGTGCCCAGGCAGGTCCTCACCTCTATCCTCCATATCTGCACCCCGGGCGTGGTGACGTTGAGGGAGCCTTTGACCTGGGTGCTCAGTTTGGTCATGGCGGATGAGCCTGGGGAGAAGTGGTGTCAGAGTAAGAAGAGGACAATGGGGGCTTCCCTGGTGGCGCAGCGGTTAAGAATCCACCTGCCAATGTTGGGCACACGGGTTCAAGCCCTGGTCTGGGAAGATCTCACATACTGCGGAGCAACTAAGCCCATGCGCCACAACTACTGAAGCCCACGTGCCTAGATCCCGTGCTCTGCAACAAGAGAAGCCACCGCAAGGAGAAGCCCACGCACCACAAGGAAGATCCAACGCAGCCAAAAATAAATAAATAAATATTAAAAAAAAAAAGAAGGCCTGGGCATGCGTCGGTTTCAGTGCCGC